AAGTGGAAAAAGACTAGAAGATAGAGGAGTGACCATTGCAGTTGGAAAAATGGAGATGGTTGGTGACCTGGACAAGAGCTGTTTTGACAGCCTGGAGAAAAATAGAAGCCTGAGTGGAGTGGGTTTAGAAGAGAATGAGAAGTGAGAATAAGGAAACAGTAAATATGGACAACTTTTATTATAGATTATACTTATCACAGGGGCCTGATAACCAGGCTTACCCTGATCATCGATTCCCAGCAACCTTCCTTGCAAACCTCCAGGTCTCTGAGTTCCTCAGTTCTTGTAGGGTAGGGGCAGATCCTCTTTCTCATCCAATTAAATATTTATCAAGCATCTACTATATGCAAGGCACCGTGCTAGATATTGTGTTGAGTTACAAAAGGAAATCAGGAAGATCCTGTCCAAAGGTAGGTTACAGAACAATAGAGGGTATGAGGCACTTACCAAGATGAAGGCTCAGATGAAGTATTACAGAAATTCAAAGAAGTTTCTTTTCATTTGCAAAAGAGGATTTGGAAAGATCTGTGGAGGAAGTGGCTCTTGAGCATTTAAGTATAGGGAGAATTTGAAGATGTGTAATTGAGGGTGCGGAAAAGTCATTCCCAGCAAAAGAATAAATATTACAGGAAGCGCAGAGGCGGGAAAGCATGACTGATTCTGGGAGAAAAGCCAAAGTCCCAGTTTGGCTGGAGCAAGGGCTACTCGAAACATGAAGGAATAAGCTCGAATAGAGGGTATCACAGGTGCTGTGTGCTCACGGGCAAGAGTCTGGCCCGTTAACTTCGTCCAGGGACCTGGCCTCTGTCCCCAGGAGCCAACACTCCGCACTGGGGCCCGCGCCCCTTCGCTCCAGCCCGCCAGAGCTCTCCGGGCTCGTGCCTCTACCCTGAAGCGTTCTTCCCAGCCTCGTCCCGGAGGCAGGGGCCACCGCCGTGCCCCCACTCTCGCCCTCTCTGCAAGCTCGTGGGGACCGCCTCCATCGCTCGGGACTCACCACTCTGAGTCTGAACCGCCCAACGCGGCCTCAACGTCTCCGAGCAGTCGCCATCTTTCCCGTTTCCTGGTCGCCGAGATGCATTCCCCGGCCGCGAGGCAAGCTGGGAAGGCGAGTTCCCGGTGCAGGGCAGCGTGGGCCAACATCGAGTGCCTGAGAACTACTAATACCATAATGCACCGCGTGAGGGCCGGCCCCGGGCCGAGGGGTCTCCTGGGCAATGTGGTTCTGCAAACATCTGAATTTGCGGGAGTGAGAGTTACCTGTGGGTTTGCTTCCAGCCAAAGATTCTCTCGCCGCACAGTCTTCCTTGGAATGTGCTGGTCTTCCCAGAAAGTCATGACCTGTGGCTTACGACGAAGGAATTTAAGGGCTTCCTGAGCTATCAATAGCGCTTAATCTTCAGTAACAACTACAGTAACAACAAATAGTGTACCGCGTGTGGAAGAGCGTTTTTACAAAAAAAAAAAAAAAAAAGGCGAGGTAGATTAGCCCCATTTTACGGGTAGACAAACTAAAGGTTAGGTTACAGGAGTAACCTAGTGTTTCACAATGAGGATGGGACAGTTCATTGTGTGGGACTATCCCCGATTCAAGAGGAGGTTTTAGCAACGTTTGGCCGGGCAGGAACAACCCGCAATTATTATGCCAACTCCAGATGAACCCATACGTGGATTGCAGAGCCCTCCTAGAAGGATGGTATCACCTGGGCTGTGGCACCTGTTTTCTCAACTTTCCAAATAGGATCCTGGCTTCCTTATTTTCTTGCCCTTTGAAATCTACCCAGTTGTTGGACTACCTTCCTAGTTTTGCTTCTTTTTTCCTCCTAGTCCCCCCTCTTCAGTCATCCACGGAGCTTTCTCTATCCCAAATTGTAGTTTCTCTTTGGTCTTATGGTTCATAGTTCACCAGCCCCACTGCCCCCAAAGAAGCCAAACCTTGCAATTTCTGGGATGGTTTAGATAGATACAGGGAAGTGTCTAATGTCCTCTCCCTTCCCATTTTCCCATCATCAGCATTTTGGTTTCAATACCATGGGGCTGTAGGTCTGGCTTTTCTCTCTAAATGTATGTTCAGTTCTCTTCAAATAGAGCCTCAAATAATCCTAAATAATCCTAAGCCCCTGAAACACCACACACAATGGCCCAAAGTAACCCTGGGAGAGACAGGCTTCGGCTCTTAGAACTCTACTGCCATTGATTTGCCCACTTTTACCCCAGAGGAAGATCTGAGGGGAAAGGATATCTGAGATCTACTCGATGTAACTCATGCAGTGAACACTGGAGGGCTCTTCGCTCATAGAATGGAACTTGAACTATCAGACCGAAGGTGTAGACCTTAAGAGCGGCAGCTGTAGTATTTACTGAGAATCTTCTAAGTGCCCAACTCTATGCTGGATACTTTTATTATTTGTCTTACTTATTTCTCATAACAGTATGATGTGGGTATTATCATCATTTTACTGTTGAATTATGCCTTCAGCAGCAACATAGTTACAAGAATGAAGCCAGGATTCAACTCCAAGTTCATTTCGCTTTGGAATCCATGCTCTTCCCGTTTCTAGGCTACTACTACTCTTTACAGATAAGTAAACTGAGAAACTAGAAAGGTGGTGAGGTTTGTTCAAGTTCATAGTGGCAGAGTTCCCCTAGTGTTTGTGCACAGCTTTCTCATGACACACGTAAGCATTGTGCTTCAAGGATACTCACATGCTTTGTCCTACCCTGGTAGTTCGTTCGTTCTTTCTTTCTTTCTTTCTTTTTTTTTAAGATTCTATTTATTTTATTTGACAGAGAGAGATGTCACAAGTAGGCAGAGAGGCAGGCAGAGAGAGAAGGGGAAGCAGGCTCCCCACTGAGCAGAGAGCCCGATGCAGGGCTCGATCCCAGGACTCTGAGATCATGACCTGAGCTGAAGACAGAGGCTTTAACCCACTGAGCCACCCAGGTAGTTCTTTCATACATGCGTCTTTGGAGATGGGAGTTTGGAGTTTGGCCCATAAGTAGAATCTCCTGTTTAGGTACAACACGGCTAACAATACGGAGCCCATGGGAGTATAGTTAACATTGAGACCCAGTTGGAATCCTGACTCCACTACTTACTAGGAGTATGATCTTGTGCAAGTTATACAGCATCTCTGACTTTTCTTTCTTTCCTCTTTTATAAAATAGGAGTATTTCTTGCCTCACAGACTAGTATAACAGTTAAAAAAAAAAAAGTGCATATTCTGGAGTCCAGCTGCTGGATTTGTATCTGGGTTCTATCACTTTCTAACCTTGTGACCTTGGACATATTAACTAACTTCTCTGAACTTCAGTTTCCTTATCCGTAAAAGGAGGTAGATAGTACACCGTAGGGTTAGCACAGAATTAAGTAACATAGAAAGAACTCATAAGTGCCCTTGACCCATAATAAACATTTAACAAATGTTAGCTATTATCATTTATAAAGTTAAGTGTGATAATCCAGGTAAAGCTCTCAGCAGTGCTGAGCACGTAGTAGGAGCTCAATACATAGTAACTTTTTATTTCCAGCGTACTGTGAAACTTGGAAAAAAGAGCTGTAAGCAACTGAAAGGATGTTAAGGCTCCTGAGCGGCCATCAACAGGCAATGGAACCGGGAGGTCAAGAAAGCAAAAGACGTTACCACTCCTTCAACTCGTAGGAAACTGGAACCCTAGGAACTGTCCCTGAACCACGGATTCAGGCCTTCCCACGTTCTGCAGGGGTTGGAATTTCAGTGGCTTGGATCCTCTACTGAGGATTTCACCAAACCTTGTCTCTCTCCTCTAGATTCTCTAAGGCAGTGTTTCTCGACCGGGAGTGATATTGCCCCCAGAGGATATTTAACAGTATCTGGAGACATTGTGATTGGGGGGGAGGGGCAGAGGGTTGCTACCAACATCTAGCAGGTGGAGATCAGGGATGATGCTAAACATCCTCCAATGCACAAGACAGGCCCCAGCATCAAAGGCATGACCTAGGCTAAAATGTCATTCGTTCCCAGGTTGAGAAACCCCAGCCTGGGGCTAAAGAGCTCTTTACTGGCTTACTGGACTTGGGCAGGGTTTGGGTGAGACAGCGAGAAGGAGGAAAGGGAAACCCTTGTTGGAGACACCAGGGAACAGTAGAGGCGGCCACTCTGTGACCCACAGAAAGGGCCCCAGGATATCTTCTTCCTTGTAAGCAAAGAACAAACAAGGAGAATGGAGAAAGAAACAAAGAAAACAGAGCCAACTGCTTTGTATGTGTTATATTTTTCATTAATAAATAGGTTTTTCTTCTTTAAACACGGAACATAGAACATATTGAAACACTCCCCCCTCCCCCCGATTCCAAAGACAAGAGTCTATAAAACAAATGCCAGCTGTACTGCCCTAAGGGCAGAAGTCTGGTGACCCCCACCCAGCCCTGCCCCCTGCAGCACCACCACCCCCACACTGCAAGAGAAGGGGGTCTGGGGCTTCTCCCTTGGACCCTGGGGACTTAGGTGAGAAGCATATGAATGTATGATGTCACCTCTCCATGAGGCATGGGCTATGCAAAGATGAGGTTTCCTTCTCATTGGCTCTGACCAGCTCCTGCCCTTCTGGTTTTCAGTTATGAAGCACCAGGGCTCAGCTCCCAAGGGAGCCGCCTCTTGGCTTCCCCACTCCACTCCTGTGTGGCTTCCTCAGAGGGGAAGGGAAGGGCTCGGGGACCCCTCCCGTCCCCTGGCCCACATGGAAGCGCTGTGTAGAAGAGGCATGATGCTGAAGGTGAGGCTCCTAGAGGCTCCCAAGCCCATGAGGCCAGCATGCCCCCCACACCCCCACACCTTTCCTTCCTCTGGAGCGGGGGGTACACTGGGGCAGCCACCCCCACCACAACCTAGTGCCTGGCTTGGGGTGTGATGGTTCTTTCTCAGTGTCAGGTCCTCAAGCCGGGCCTGGCTCTTTCCTTGTCCTGTTCCTGTCTCCTTCCAAGCCCTCACCGTGGCCATCTGAAAAACGCATGTCCAGTGTCCTAAATTGTCCCATCCTCCCTCTCCCCCGTGCCTCTGCAACCCAAGGGAGGAAGTGGGAGGTTGCCTCCCTTCTCCGACCCCCACTTCACATAATGGAACAGCTTTTGGCCTTTTCCTTCTTGAAGGTAGACGAGATGAGTTCGGAACGACTGGGGAGGTGAAGCAGTCGCTTGGAGAGGCTTCGGACAGGGCTCTTGGGAGGCACCGGGCTGGGCTTGTTCAGACACACCATGGATGCCGTCCGGAAAATGCTGTGGATACTCTTTTCTGAGGTGAAAGCTGAGCCTTCCAGGTAGATTTCTGCACCCAGCTGCTTGGCTATTGCACAGCCCTGTGGAGGGGGTGAGGTCATCAAGGCTGTTGTCCCACATGGCTCCGAGACACTGCCTTCTGTCTTAATGGTACTCCCCCAGGATCCTCCTGATGAGACAAGGGCCAGTCTCCCACCACCACTCTCTGCTGATTTCCTTAAGCGGAAGCCTATATGCACCTCACTATCACCTGTAACGCTTCTAGAACAATCCTGATGCCAGACCAAGTAAATCAGAATTTCTGTGGGTAGGCATTCATATTTTTAAGAGCTCCCCAGATGATTCTAATGGCAACCACTGGTTTAAAAGAAATGAGCCTTACGCTCCCACGTGTGAAAGAAATTACCCAGGAATTTCATGAGAAACACAATTTCTGTATCTTTCTCCTAGAGTGACTTGATAGGTATGGAGTCAGGAATTCTAACAAGCACATCTGGTCATTCTAAGGCAGGCAGTCAGCAAAAAACAATCTGAGAAAGACTAGCGCACACAGGAATGGCTCATCTGCCAACCTATGGAATGAATCGGGGTTAAAGAGTTGTCTACCACCTCTAGCAAGATGACTGGTCTGCTGATTAGAGATGGCTCCCCAGAACACCAGTTCTCCCTTGCCAAAGTGAGAGCTTGAGAAAGGGCCACATTTCAAGTCCTTTGTCTATAGCCTTCCGCACCCCATCCCACCCCAACACGTGCGTGTGTACATGTACGCGCGCGCACACACACACACCTGCTCATAGGAGATAGGTGCCTGTTTCTGGTGGGACAGCTCCATCAGTGTGCTCAGGTCTGTTCGCAGGTCTGTCTTGCAGCCAATAAGCAAAACACGGGTGCTAGGACAATAATCTAGGATTTCCGTCCTCCACTGAAGAGCCATGTGAGAGGGGAGGTGGGGAGGAAGAAGGAAGAAGAGTCAGTGGCTGACAGCTACCTGGAGAAGCCCAGCGGGCAACATCAGACCCGCCATCCAGTATATCACAGCCCAGCCCTCCCTGAGTCACACAGCATCACCAATGCACTAATTACATCATCTTCCCGCCGATGAGGACTCTGGGGCCACAGGAGTGCTGACCCCGAGAGCCTGCCCCTCATTCAACAGCCCAGTTCACCAAAGGAAGCATGGGGGCAAAATCTCCTCCCACTCTCTACCAAGCATGTGTGGCGTAGCTCTGCCCCCTCCACCCAGTGAAAGGGCTTCACGGGTCCAGAAAGCCAGGAGCAACAGGGAGGAAGCCAACCAGTCTCTTCCCAAGGAAAGGAGATAATCCCAAAGTCTTCTGGAAAACTACTTCCACAGGGTGGGAGACTCTTCAGGATGGGCAGACTTTGCCCCCCAGACCAGGCGTTTCCTACCTGCATGGCTGGCCCGGTGTTGGTGGGCTTGGGATCAAAGGCAACAGAAGCTCCCTGCAAACACCCACCTAAGCCTCAAACTCCGTCACAGAAAGGTTCTGACTCTCCATCCTTCACTTTCAGCGTCTTCAACACCACCCTCCCTTGCTGGGCCTCTGGCAGAGCAGTATGGGCTATGGCAAGGGCAGGGGGCAGAGAGGGAGGGAGTCTGGGTTCTAGCCCCAGAGCTGGAGCTAATCAGGCAAATCACTTCCTTCCCTGGCCTCAGTTTCTTCCTGCTACAGAAGAGGGGACTGGACAGCAATGTCCCCGAGATTCCTTTCTGTTCTCCAGCTGAGCTGGAGGCTGCCCAGTTGCCCAGACTCACCTTCTTGAGCGCACTATCCACTGTCTCCGGGCGGCTGATATCAAAGCATAGTAACACCGCATCCGAGTCACTGTAGCAGAGTGGACGGACGTTGTCATAGTAGGGAGATCCTGGTATGTGGGAGAAAGAGCTGATGGTGAGCTGTGGCATTTGCCCTTCCTAAGCCCAATGAGCCCTGGGAATCCTGTTCTTGACCCCTAGGTTAACTGGCTCCACCCACCTCCCCAGGTAAGAGGCTGCAGCTTAAAATGTTGGGACCCGACCACCTGCCAGAAAGCAGTACAGAAATATCATCTTCCTTAGTCCTTAAAAAGGGAAAAGGGGAAACAAAAATGGGGGCATAGACTATATTCTGGCCCTGTCTCCTACAGTGGGCTTAATTTCAGGTCTGCCAGTTTTATGAGTCCCAGAGGGGGATGCTCCCACCCCTGCAGAGAGACCAGGGCTTGGGTCAGGTGTCTTTTCTAGAGTCTGCCTGCTGCCCAACCTCTGCTCCCTGTTTCTGCTCCAGGGTCTCTCCAACGAAGAAACAAACCTGCCTGTTACATAACTGGCTGCCTGGCTTCTTTGCCATGGGGTCAGAACTCTAGGAGGCTGAAAGGGGAGAAGGAACAGCATGGATTCAGTGCCTTACTCTTTCTGCCTGTGAGACACTGCAGCCCCTATCCCCCAAGATCTCAGGGAGGCAGTTTCAAAGAGAGCAGCACCCATAGCTAGGGATCTGGAGGCTCGAGGAAGGGTCCTTCACCGGGAGGGCAGCAGGTGCTGCAGACCCAGGTGGCCCAGCATGGGAGAATGCTAGGGGCTCAGCCTGCCCCCCGCCCTGGGGAAGGAACAGTAGCAGATTTGGAACCCAGACAATCCGTGCTCAGAATAGCAAGCAGCCCCTCTCCCTGCACCGCAATCGCCATGGAAACTGGGGGGAATCCAAGCTGGGGTGGGGGTTTGGTTGTAAAAAAAAAAAAAAGAAAGAAAGAAAGAAAGAAAGAGTAAAGAGGAGTTGCAATAACTATCTGCTCCTTCAGCAATCCGCCCCCATCCCCTGTCTGAGGTGGGGTCTTAGCTCGCCAGCACTGAGCAAAGGGAGCACTGCAGCACTTGGGAAGGGGGAGGGGAAAGGAGGAGGCCTCCATTCTGGCTCCAGGCAATCCCCCTCCCCTAAGACCAGCAAGTGAATAACGGGAACAGGCTCGACCCTGGCCCCGATTTTGGGAAGCCCCATCCCACACACTGCCATCACTTTTTCCTTCCTTGTGGGCACCTAATTTGAAAGGAGTTGGAGGATGACTGATAGGCTGCATCCCTTCCGAAATTGGGGGGTGGGGATGCGACACCAGGAACAGACACCACTTTGCTGACTTTCCATTATCTGGACTGGGATTCAAGGGCTGCATTCTGACGTGGGGGCAGGGAGGGGGCACTCTGGGGCAGTGGTAGTAAAAGGAGATGAGCTGCAGTAAGATTCTGGGAAGACTGAGGAGGTGGGCAGGGTAGGGCAGCCGAAACCCCATACATTCTGCAGCCGAGCTGCATTCCGGTCAGATCCAGCCAGCATAGCACAGTCCAGGATAACCAGAACCCTGCCTCCCAACCCCTGGAACTGCATCAGAAGAAGGCATACCAGGTGGAGGAATTTCTGTTTTGCTTTGTTTGGGGGAGGGAGGTAGCAAGGGGAAGGCTCATTTTCTGTTTATCTACTCCCCTACCCCCAATCTTTTCAGACCTCAAAAATTAGACATGGGAACAACAGCTCTTAGAGGACTGGGATGGCATATTTATTATATGTAACAGGAAACCCCTAGTGATTTACACAGATCCTCTTTGAACTCAGCCTGAATGTGCATTTTTGGAGGGTGGATTTTTCTTTTCTTTCTGTTACTCTGGGCTTTTAGTCCTTAATTATGACTCGGAGCCCAGTCTATTAAAAAAGAACTGGGGTAAAAGAGATAATGGGAAGGGATCAAAATCAAAGCAAAGGACAGCCTAGCACTGAGGGTTTAGGGTTGAGAGGAAAAATATTGCTTTCTACATTCCAGAAAGACCCAGCATCTTCTACCTCAGCCCAGTATGGTAGGGTGGGGGTGGAGGGGGTGACTGTCACAGCCACCCCCCTCCCTGCACTATCTACAACGAAACTGTGCCCCACATTAAAGCCATCTCCCCCACCCTCCAAAACATCAATGATGCATCACTTCATCCCTGAGCCGCAGCGGTATGACAAGTGGAACCGAGCTGCGGCAGGCGGACAGCAGTGGCCCAAGATGGAATGCAGGAGAGAAAACTGAGTGAGGAGCAGTATTTCCCCAAAGCAGGCTTGTCTCCCAGCCTCAAACACCACTGCCTCCAGCAGCACGGACTCCTGCCTCTTATCTGGCTTGGCTATGGGGCAGTAAAGGCGGGGGTGGGAGGACACGGAGGGCAGGGGGTGGAAATGGAGAAGCCCCGCCTGACTGCCCCCCAGTTATATTCATGGGTCCATTCACCTCACCATCCCAGCCCTCTGAAAGAAGGAGCTAGACCCAGAGAAGTGGCTTCTGGAGCTCATTCACTCTGTGCCCCTGGACATGCCAACCAAGGGAATCTTCAGGTCCCCTTCTGTCAGTTTCCCAGCCAGCATCATACACAGTCCTCCCCAGCAAAGAGGGAAACAATTTCTTAAAGACAGCAACTATAACAGACCAGTGGGGGTGGGAAGGGGGCATCTGGGGCCAGCAGTCTTACCTGAGGTGTCCCAGAGACTGAGCTCCACCCTTTGTTCCTCTGTCTCCAAGCAGGCTGTGTAATTCTCAAACACGGTGGGCACATATGTCTGTGAAAAGAGAGGAGCTCGTCACACCCTGGGCTCCCCTACTTTCATAACCCTCTGTTTGGTGCTGGCTACATAGGAAGTCACTCATCCTATGAGATACTAGAGGGGCAGGGGAAGGAAGGGGAGGGGAGGGGGCTACTTGCGGCAGGAGGGACACATGGGACAGGAAGGAGGGCAGTGTAGAAGCACAGGCACTTTGCTCCATGGAAAAAAGAAATCTGAATGACTTCCAATGGGGGACAAGCCCCCTCCCTTCCCGCTCCCCCACCCCAATCCTAGATGGTCAGGGAGGCAAACACACAGATTTCTCTCCTCTCCAGACTTGTGTGTCTCCGGATTTTAGAGCCCCAAGCAAATGCTAGCTCTTTATCTTCTCCCACAAGCCTCTTGGACCAGCAGGACAGCAGAAGCCCTCCTCGAGACGGGCTCCCGGACGGAACCTCTGAGGGGATGAGGACACCGTCAGGTATTACGTCAAGAAGAAACCCCAGACTCTCAAATGCCTCCAGTTCCCTCTCCCGAGAGCAGACCCCGGGATAAAGGGAGGGAGGAGGGCATCTGATCGGGGCCTATGGGTGAAGAGGTGAGGAGGAGCCAGCGGGGCGGCAGAAGTGGAACAGGTCTCAGGGGAGGCTGAGGCAGGGCGGTCCTCCAGCCGGGCTGCTGAGGATGGGGCAGGGTGGCGTGCGGTAAGCTGAGGGGGAGCTAGGTCCCCCTCACCCCGGGCAAGTGGGAATCTAGCCACAGGGAAGACAGGCAGGCAAGGAGAAAAGCTGGCCAGCGGGCGGGCCGCTCACCTCGGGATAACAGTCCTTCGCTAACACCTGTAACATCGCCGTCTTCCCGCACTGCACGTCCCCCACCAGAACGAGCTTACATCTGGCCACGACTGGCTGGGGGGCCCGTCTCTCCTTCATGGCTGCAGCCTCCGCGGGACGTGGACTCAGAATCAGAGAGGAGAAGGTTGTGCCAGGTGCGTCTCGGCACAAAAACTCAGCCGGGATCCTCGCCTCCCTCCAAATGAAAAGGAGGCTGGCACGGCCGCCTTATATCGCCCCGGCCGAGCCAATCACAAGAGGAGGCGGACTCTGTTAGGACCAATCCCTGAGGTGGGATCCCCTCCGGCAGCCAATGGTAGGAGAATCTGAGTCAGTGCCCTTTTCCTCCCTTCCCTTTCTCTTAAAGCTGTATCTTTGCTTCCTCTGCAAGGGGATTCCCACGCTGTTTGCATTTGTATTAGGAAGGGGGGATGGGGACGTGAAGCAAAATTAATGGTCCTGAGTGTCCATCAATTAGTGTCAAAAGCAAACTGGCCCTGAAGGCAGAAAATGAGGTCAAGCTGGCTCTGTCCCAAGAGAAAAGCAGGATCTGCCTCAACTACAGACAGGTGGCAGCCGGGCTGGGGGGTGGGACGGTGACCCCACAGATCTCTAACCTCTTTGTTCTGTCTAATACCCAACCAAACTACTTCTGGCTTCCTCTCCCAGAGACTCCTGCCGTACCCCTTTATCAGCTCCTATTGTACCCCTTTCAACGCCCAAGTCTGGAATCGCCTTCACCTAAATAGACCGACAGATAGGTAATGAATAGATAGGTAGATGGATGGATGGATAGATAGATAGATCTTCTTGCATCATCTAGAAAAAAAACCCATACAGTTCCTGACCCAGAGATGGGCAGAGAGAAAGGAATGAGGGTGTCTGGCAACTGGGGATGACATAGAAGAGGAGAACAAAGCAAACAAAGTCCCTCTTGGGCCAGATCACTTCTCACCCCATGCCAAGCAGGAGCTGCTTAAGGGTGTTTGTTCTGACACCCAGGGTCCGCTTCCTGGATGAATCAGGCACAGGTCCAGTTCCAGGTTGATACGTACTCATGCCGACACACTCTGTGTGTCATCTGGTTAAAGTCCAGACTGGAAGACTGGGCCTGGGACTCTGGGATCAGTAGGCTGGAGAGCAACCCAAGGTTGAGAGGAGCTACATAACTGCCTACCAGCCCTGCCCCTCAGAGCCCTGGCATGTTAAGGAGCCTCTCCCCTAGTCAGAACTGTGGAATATACACAGCTTGAATAGCCCACTGATTATTCAGGAACAAAAACAGTCTAAATAAGACCTCTAGGAATTAGGGATTGGAGTAAAGCTGATCTTGGGCAAAAATGAGAGCACCCCAGAGTTTATCATTAGGTCCCTTCTCCTTTTTTAGCTTAGCACCTCTGGAGCCTGCTCTGGGTCTTGTCCCATCTGAGCTCTCTCTACCTTCATTGCTGTCGTACCCAGGCATACTTTCCCTGATGTAAAGGATGTTTAGGAACACCTGGGTGGCCAGGTGGTTGAGCATCAGCCTCCAGCATAGGTCATGATCTCCAGGTCCTGGGATCAAACTTCACCTCAGGCACCCAGCTCAGCAGGGAGTTTGCTTCTCCCTCTCTCTCTCCCCCTGCTTATGCTCTCTCTCTCAAATGAGTAAATTTTAAAAATCTTTAAAAATTAAAATAAGAATAAAAATAAATAAATAGGGGCACCTGGGTGGCTCAGATGGTTAAGCATCTGCTTTTGGCTCAGGTCATGATCTCCATTTCCTGGGATAGAGGCCCAAGTCGGGCTCCCAGCTCAGCGAGCAGTCTGCTTCTCCCTCTCCCTCTGCCTCTCCTCCCTGCTCATGCTCTCTCTCTCTCTCTCTGTCTCAAATGAATAAATAAAATCTTGAAAAATAAATCAATGAATAAATAAAGGATGTTTATAAACTTTTCCCAGACCCAAAGGGACAGACCTCTAAGAGTGAGCTTTCTAATGCGCACTATAGACTGGAGAATGGAGGGTATCTTGAGGATACAGCCTAACCTGTGTGCCTCTTGTAAAATCCTGTGGCATCCAGTCCAAACTACTTGGTTGAGGGTTCCGGGACTAAGTGTCACATGGTCCTCTGCTCATCTCCTGAGACGCCGCTTCCTAAGGGAACCTCAGAGTAGTAAGACTCATCCAGGGGCCACCATAGCCTCCACTCCCAGGCTCTCTGGAAGTTTTTCCCCCCACTTCATCTCCAAGGCCTCATTCTCAGCCCTCAGATGATATTCTGGCTGTAGAGTTTGTCCTCTTCTTGCCCTTTTCCAGCAGTCTGACAGCCGCTCTGAACTGCCCATAAGTACGCTTTGGAAGAGTTCCAGGAACAGCTGTAAGATTACAGACTGCCTCAACCTGGTGTCCTTTCCCTCAGCCTGACCTTTTCCTCCTCTTCCTCACCCTCAGTCTCATCTGGACTCAGTTCCGGAGCCCACATCCTCTTAACACTTAACTCGGTTAAGCCCCCATTGGACCCCAAACCCCAAAGACTTTAGCCCTCTTTCTCCCCCATGTTCTCTACCAGCCTCCCCCCATACACCCTCTCCACCAGCCGCTCCAAAGAAACATTCCATGGAAGTGAAAACTGTTCCCTGCCACCCAAACAGCTTCCTCTGGCTTCTAACAAGATTGCTATTCTGGAGCTCCTCTGAGACAGGAATTCTGGGAGCCTGTGCTAACACTGATTCCTGCCTGGGTGGCTGTGTCTCAGGGCAGGGCAGCAGGAAGCCTGAGCTAAGAGACAAAGCAGCCCCCATCATGGTTGGTTTGCAAGACAGTTAGTGGGTCACATGGTTATGAGTTGTGGTGGGAAAAGATATGTGTGTGTATGTCTGTGTGTGAGTTCAGAAGGCAGCGTGGCAACTTGAAGAGAGAACGGAGTCAAAGTTCAGCAGGTGTGGGTTTTGGACCCTGCTCTGCCCTTAACAAGCTGTTAGGATGTTTGTCTAAGTCACTTCCTTCTCTGGGCCCATACTTTGCATGTAAGTGAAGGGTTTGGGTTGGAGAATGGGGTTCTTAGCTTTTCTTTCTCTTCCTTCCTTCCTTTCTCTCTCTTTCTTTCTTGTTAGACTCCCTTCCCTAAGTTTGTTTAAACCTTTTCCAAGTCTCTTTATTTAAAAATTCATAGCCAGAGTAATAAACTTACAAGGTGGCTCTTTACTATCAAGAAAGAGGTTATACTTGAAAATTTTATCCTAAAGTGGAAGAAGCCGGGCACAGAAGACCGCAAATTGTCTGATTCCATTTGTGTGAAATATTCCGAGTAGATGGGCTGAAGAAACAGCAGATAGGTGAGTGGATGCCTGGGGCTATCAGAATAACGAGAATGGGGAGTGCCTGCTACTGGATTCAAGGTGTCTTTGGGGGGGTGATGAAAATCTAAATTTGATTAGGTGATGGTTGCACAATTCTGTGAAAATACTAAAAACCACTGAATTGTACAGTTCAAATTGGCCAATTATATGGTATGTAAATCATATCTTGATAAATCTGTTACTTTAAAAAATTAGGTTATAATCCCAAATCTTATTCATATAGTCTCCTTTACCTTATTTTTTTTAGAAGGCTTTGTGTGTGTGTGGAAATATTCAAACATTTAAAAAGGGAGAAAGAAGGGGTGCCTGCCTGGCTCAGTCATTAAGCGTCTGCCTTCGGCTCAGGTCATGATCCCAGGGTCCTGGGATTGAGTCCCACATTGGGGTCCCTGCTCAGTGGGAAGCCTGCTTCTTCCTCTCCCACTCCCCCTGCTTGTGTTCCCTCTCTCACTGTGTCTCTCTGTCAAATAAATAAATATTTTTTATTAAAAAAGGGGAGAAAGAATAACACAATGAATCCTTATGCACCTGTTATCCAACTTCAATAATTACCATCATAATCTTGTTCCATTTATTCCCCCCACCTACCTCCCCCCCATTACACCTGTACTGGCTGACTTCCAAACACTCATTAGACATTATATCATTTAATCCATAGATATGTCAGTACTCATCTCCAACAGCAATGTGTTAACATAACTGTGATACCATGATCACAACTAAAAATAAATAACTCACTCCTTAGTATCATCAAATATCCAGTCGGTGTTACTATTTTCCCAATTGGGTCGTACATTGATTTAATCTAAAACGAGGCACACATGTTGAATCTGGTTGATATGGCTCTTAAAGGTCTTCTATTTCATAGGTTGCATCTCCCTTTTTTCCCCTTGTGATTCATTTGTTGAAAAAAGCAAGTTGTTTATTCTACAGTGTCCTCCAGATTTGGGATTTTGCTGATTACATCTTCATGGTGTTGTTTACATGTAGTAAAGCTCCTTTACACATTAAGTCTTATGTAGCATCCCAAAACACATACAAAAAAAGATGAAAAACTAAACATCTCTGGTTGAATCAGGGAACGAGGGACTTGGAGTGGGGCTCAAAGATGAAAAACCAAACAGCTCTGGTTGAATGAGAATGAGGGACTTGGAGTAGGGCTCAGTCAGTGTCCCCTCCCCAAACTACAGGGGACATGGTTTAAAAACCACTAGCCTGGATAGGATAGCATGGTGTGGGGGATGTGTGTGTGTGTGTGTGTGTGTGTGTGTGTGTGTGTACCACAGGTTCAAAGCTCAGGACTGCCCTATCTTTTTTTGGCTCTGATTACTCTGATAAATTCCTTATCTGGGACAGTGACATAATACGAAAGGTGTTCAGGGTGATGGCAAATTCAAATTCACTCAGACTCTTACCAGAGCGTACGCAAGCCCAGTCTTTCTCTGCCCAAGGGATTCTTACAAAGAGCTCCCTATGCTCCCAACCTGCCACCTACATCCCCTATGAGTGTGGTGGGACCATGCCCTTTCTCTTTCTTAAGGGGACCAGAGTTCCCCTCATAGGACTCTGGTGCTGGTGCCCTGTTCCTTTAGCCAAAACTTCTCATGATCTCAAGGATCTCTGGCTCCAAGCACTGGGGAGCCCCTGACCTTTGGGCATTCTAGCTGGAGCAGCCCCTGGAGCGCTAACCAAGTTTTAAAGACTCAGTGCTTGCCTTCAGAGAGTTTATAGATGTGAGGCAGAAGAAAGCAAGACCGCTTTGGGTAATTAACACCAAGTGCAGTAGGCGTGATGAGGAAGGAGGGTTCAGATCTGGTTACGTTATCAGGAAGGTGATAGAAGAGGGTCT